CCGGGGGAGGGCGACCCACACGAAACGAACGGTCTCGCAGAGAGTGACGCCAGCCAGCACCCGCTGCAGAGAAGAACCGCCGTTGTTGGGGACGGACCCTCCGGAGCTCGCCAAGTCCTGCAGGAGGGTGTGCCCACGCCCACTGAGGGACGACGAGAGCGATCGGAAGACGGGCCGCTGTTATTGTACGCACGCCGAGGAAGGAAGCGACGCTGACCTTGAGGGGAGACCAAGTGCACGAGCGGGGGTTGGGCAACGCCGGGACCTCGATAAGCGAGAAGCTCAGACATCTGCTGGTCCAGGAAGGAAGGCAGGCAGCGCATCGGCGTGCCGGTCATGATCGCCTCTTTAAACTGCTCGTTGCGCGTCATTACGCGCGTGCCGTGATTTCTCTCTTTCCCTCCCCTGTTCCATAAGGACCGTCGGGGCGCACATGGTTCTGCCGTAACTTGGCGAACGGCGAAGGCTACGGTCCCAGAGAGCCAATCAGCGGGTCGGAGAGACACGTGATTATCTCTGTCCGCAGTGGTGACAGAGATAAGCAACTGGTGACAGAGATTGAGAAAATACACTTTTAAATGAATTTTGTGTGACGAGCTAATCTTGCAAGATGGTAACTCTGAGAGGAACAGATTTAAAACAGTACGAGGACAGAAAAAAAAAGAAGACAAAGAAGCTGCCCCCCCCCCCTCCCTCTTTTGCATTTTGTTTTGTCTTTTTATCGTTTTAGTTATGTTCTGGGATTACCGCCATGTTGAATTACACAAACTCACCTGCACCGTAAGCTTTTTGTTTTTTGGCTAATATTTTTGGGAGGGCAATGCTGCGTCTGGCACAGACAAAAGAGGGTACCGAGTAAGTCTTCCCGATTTCTCCAACTGCTTGGGTTACGCTCTCGCTCCTGTATGCCTTTGGTAAAGCCTGTCACGTGCTTCATATCCATCGCTCTGATTGACTCGAGGAGACTGTAGCGTCGCTCGTTGCCAAGTTACGGCGAAGCGAAGGTCAGAGGTGGCGATGGTGGTGTACTTGCCGTGTTGATATTAGCGCCTCGCCAAGGCAAAGCTCGAGGCGCTTAATTAAATCTGGAGAGGGAGCGACTCGGTAATAGCACGTTTCTTCGCCACGTCCTTCGTCCGCGAGGGGGTATAGCTGCGTCCCCGATCGGCCGGCCGCGGCACAAAGGCGCCGGGTGCGCTGTCGTTTTCGTTTCGCTTCGTTTGGATATGAATATGAAGAAGCGTATGCACGCGACGGCTTCACGAAGATGGCTCGCCAATAATACTGTGGGCCACGACGCGAGGAGACTTACAAGTAGCCGACAATATCCGCACCACGATCGAGTTCTCTCGCTTTTCTTTCTTCTTTCCGGAGACCATTCGCTGCGATCACCTTCCATCTGTTTGGCCTACTCTGGCTGCGAACGCTTTTCGGCCTTTCGCTAATTCTAGCTTTTACTACTCAACGTTCCAGGTGTCAACGAATACAAAATCCCTGGGGCAATTCTGCCTATAGTCATTGCCAGTTTAAGAAATGCGGGGCGTCATGAGTCCCGAGTATTTCATCACCGCTCCGCAGCCAATCAGGTTGCGGCATTGGCCAATACGAAATCCGAGGAACCAATCGCGAAGCGTGAACTTAACAAGCGCGCCCTGCGTCTGTTAAGCTGCCCGTGAGCCCGATAGCACGCGCAACTGCTTGCGTCTCGGGGTACACACACACTTACCCGCATCAGCGTGGTTGCAATTTATAAAGAACTCTTTGGGTGCGAGGTCGTACGCAGTCACCATTGAGACTCCACAAAGATTAAGGAAGCGCCACCATGCCTCTCGGTGGAGTTCGGGTGAATGGCAGGTGACATGCATTATTCAACGAGCCCGTTTCGAGAGAAAGCTCATCTCGTCTTCGAAGCCATTTTTTTTTTTTTTTAATGACGTCAAGATAAAGTTTTCACCGTCCAAACTTGTCCTTCTCATCGGCATCTGTGCGACAGGTACCTAATATAGTGGCTCACCGAACGAGGAGTGAAGACGCAATCAACCTCGGAACCCGAAGCCAAGTTATACGGTCAACCCCGTTCCCGCCGACGTCTTCGTGTGTACGGTCTTCAGGACGCGTTAGTCATCGGGCAGGGCCCCGAGATTGGGCTTCGCTGGGCTGGACCCCTCGCTTCTCTGCAAGTCTGATCTTCGACGAGTTAACCGCACGCGTCCCCGAACCACGCCGTACACCCTCAACTCCGAATCAGCGGGCATATGGTAATGAACCGTGATGCACGGCGTCGAGCGCCACTCCTTCGCGTTCCCCTGGAAGTCGGCGACAGCGATTGGCCAAAGAAGCTTCGTCCTCCGACGCCAGCATGCCCCCGCCGCGACACGACGACGAGGAGACGAGCGAGCTCGTGCTTCAGGCGGAAAGAGTTCAAGGACTGTCCTGGGCGAGGCACTGGAAACATGCCGCGACGACACTCTTCTAGGGCGCGGTCGCTGCAGTCTCTCCGGTCATGCGCCGCTGTTCGGATCGTGATGCGTGCTCTGCACATGTGCGGCGCGCTCTTGCGGGCTTTATTGTGCGTGTGCGTTTTTACATTGAAAGAAAACTCTAGCTTTCGTGGAAGGGAGCAGGGGCCATTTGGGCGAGTGTGTGGTTTGAGGAGGCCGAGAACAAAAGTTGAGAGGACGCCGCTCCAGGGACGCGCCTCTGGAAATTGGTCCCTACGAACGGCGCGGGTGGCCCGAGGATTTGTCCCGTGCAGGCTTAGGTTTCACACACCTGACCACTAGCTGGATTCGATTCTGAAATGCACACACAGAAAGGAACTTTGCTGCCTTTCTCATTTTGGTGCTAATATCACCTCCCGATTTGTTTTTTAGATTTTTTTGGGAGGTTGTTTTTAAAAGTCCGCAGACCTCCAAACATGCCTGGCGGCTTTACATTCGCAGAGTGTCTCTGGGCGTTTCTATGTAACGTTTTCATCAGAGCCGTAGACTGTTCGGTATGCCATATAAGTTATAACTTATAAGTTATAACGCACCAGAGGCTCAATTATGGATACCACAAGGCTGCTTGACTTTCAGCCAACTTTACTTGTGCCTTGTATACTGGCATAACTTTGTGCGTAACCGGGGCCTAAACTGCATGCAGTCGACACCGGATTAATTTCTGAAAGCGGGCCGTATCGTATGTCCCTGATAATTTGCGCACTCTCTTACGCGAAAGGACCGCACATGGACGTCCCGCAAAGTACACGCATAGCCAAGGCCCAACTGCCATCTGCAACGTGATACTGACTGAACAGGAAGTGTCACATGCATAGAGCGCAGTTTCAGTAGAAAATCACTGTCTAAACCTCGTCATTCGAGACTGTCACTTTGTAGATCGCATGATCGTAGCGTCGCGCATCTACTTCCCCGCAAATGCGCGTGCTCTGCCGGAAAGCAGACGGGCGCTCCCGCGATGCGATAGCGCTCCGAGACTCCGAGTACGGTAAACGAACGAGACGTTTTCCTTCTCTTCTCTTGGTGTTACCTTTCCTATTCCCCTGTCTCGGGTTGCTTCAAAATGTTTACAGCTACGAACTTGAGTTTCCCGCGCACCTCTTATCAGTGAAACTTTGTAATAGGTAATTCCTAAGAAATAGACTATCCGCATTTTTAGCTTCGTTTCAAGACGCGGATAGGTCGATATATTTTTATTCTGTCTCGTCCGTGTGCGGCTGCTCACTGCGACTCCATGTAATATTACGTCTAAAATATACTGGCTCGCATGGGCGAAGATCGATCCGTTGTCACTCGTAACATTTCAGCATCCATGCTTACGCTGCCCTTCCCGTCGCGGAAGCCAGGAGAGCGATCGTGCCACTTTTGTCACCTGTACTTGAAGAGAGAAAGTTACGTTAATATCAGGCCAATGGAAGAATGCGCCAGAAGCTCCTTCCACAATCTCATTATAGCCGGCCCTTCGCGATGAGCAACTAGTCCTCTACTGAGGCGCACGTCCCGCCGATGTCATGTAACTCCTCACGACCACTGCCTTTCCTGGTTGGTCTGCGGAGCGATTCGACGCCGTGGCTGGTACGTGATGGCGTTTATCAGGAGCACTCTTAACTCGTCTCTAGCGAACGTCGTCGAAGCGCTAAAGCGGTGCCGAGGATCTCGCCAAGCAGCCGGAGTTGCAAACGGCACGCGGAAGGAGAAGATAAGAGCAGGAGGAGAAAACAGATTAACCGAGGCAACCTCCCTCGGTTGGCTTAATTCTCTAAGTTGGAAGTAGTATACTGCGCTACGTGCTTGGCAGGTTCGTCATTACCCCGTGGGACGTAGATCAGTTGGCTTATGATCTGAGGCAGTAAAACCGGGCTTCGAGGCAACAAAGGAGAGAACAGCGGCGGCGCTGCCAGCGGACAACTCCGTTTTCTTCGTTGCGTGCTTCAGGCAGTGCCAACGATGATTGGTTCGCTCGCTGACTCCAGGTGCTCGAAAACCGTAATCTCCCAGTGCTCGCGATTTGCCCCATAGGCTAATAGCTTACTCATCTAATAGTCTAATATCTTATAACTAATAGCAATAGTTTATAGTCTGTTGCAACGTAAGATCTATAGGGAAGCTTCCACCCACGCAGAAGGGGGTTGACGTGCCAGTGGACCTGTTTTGTTGCTCAGTGACAGGTGTTGAATACCATCGATCTGGCAATTGATAGGTTGCATAATGTGATTCGTCCTTCGGCGACCTTATTGGTTGATGCCGCAATCTGATTGGCTGCGGAGAGATAATGAGATGCTCGGGCCACGCACTATGCTTCTTAGGCTCTCAGTGACGCTAGATTAGAAACGTATGTTTCGCGGTCAGCCAATTTGTGACACCAGAACAAAGAGTGTGCTTTCATTGAGTTGAGCGTTTCTCTCCTGGAATTTCGGGGCAGAGACTCTCGTGCGGATCTTATGTTTGAATGGAGTGCGCGAGTCGAGACAAACGGTAACACCGGGCTTTCGGCGCACTCACCGTGGCAGTCGAAGCCGTCGCCCTCGTAGCCCGGGAAGCAGGAGCAGTAGAAGCTGCCCATGGTGTTCGTGCAGTGGGCGAACACGTCGCACGGTCGGTACTTGCACTCGTTCTCGTCTGGAACAAAAAGGAAGAAAAAAAAAAAGAAGCATGAGAGGTGTATGCGAGTTGGGTAGCGAAGAAAGGACGCCATTGCAGAGAGACTCATGCAGCATAAAAAGAATGTCCATGCCCTCTCTTGATTTTGGAGTACACGAAGGGTTGATTACTGTTACCGATGGAGCGATCTCGGCGAATGACTGGGCCAATAGTAGAAAGAGAAGTGTTATTTAAGGAAATAAATTCCGGGAATTGAAACTGATCATACTGCGAACACGTGGAGCACAAAATGTGCCCAGCTTACGGTTGGCGCTCGATCTTGGCGTTTCACGTCAAGGTCAAATCTAGACGTGAAGCTCCAAGCTGTGATTTATGCACTATCAGATCACCAACTAGATCCCAGGTCGTCATTCCTTGAGCTCCTTCCCTGAATGGCTGGGATCGGCACTGCAGGTGCCATACGAGAAAGTTGACGAAAGGGCATTTTTAAGGTGGTACAGTCAGCGCTCTAATTGCATTTGAGCATTGATCAATATAGCAAGCCGCAAGCCTTACCCTTGGCAGACGACCAGTGAAAAAAAAGAAGAAAAGAAGCGTAATGATTAATCCGTTGTTCATGGCAGTCACCTCAGGAACATTCTTTTTTCTTTTCTTTTAACAGGAATGGAATTATGAGGAAATGTCATATTTTTCAATCTTTTAATTATAAGGTTATGTCGGATAAAAGTTGTATAGTTATATCCAATCTTTAAAGTCTGAGCAAAAAAAAAAAAAAATTGACTTTCGCTGAAACAGACAAAATACGGGGTTTTCGAGGATACAGAGAGAGAGGTTACTTCTGTTTCGGTTCAGAAATATGATGCACTTTCTGAACCGAAACGGACGTAAGTTCCTCTCTGTCTTGTTCTTCATCGGGCTTCTTCCTTCGATCGCAGCCCTGGAACGAGCTTCCTGTGGAGCAGAAAAGTACATACTGCGCGAGCAAGTATTTTTTTCGGGCGCACAGCTTACCGGGCATCTCGCATCCTTTGCCCCCGTAGCCGTCGTTGCAGTAGCACAGGTTGTCCAGGCAGGCGCCGTTGCCGCACCGGGGCATCTTCGGGTGGCAGTGGTCTGCAACAGAGGTCACGGTCGGGATCAGCGGGGAGGCCGTTCAACCGACCGCTGTGCACCCCCGGCGCGGATTACGACGCTTCCCCCTCTCGCCCGATGTTTAACGACTGCCCGCTGGCCTGTAACGACCGTTAGGAACAAGCCGAATGCACGTGTTACGTGCGCCGAAACACCGTTAATACGGGAGCCCGTTAAAAAGGCATCACTCGTTCTGCCGGGAAGCGCATCCTTGGAATGGTATACTGTCGGCGGCTCGAAGAGTATTTAAAACGCGGGGTCAGAGGATTTACGACACTTGCTTCCACGCAGGACCACCTGAAAACGCTTTAAAATTCGAAGAGATTGGTGGAAAATAGATTGCCTTGCCTTCTTTTCAAAACTTTATCTTTTATTTTTTCTGTGTGTGTTTTGGGACAGCTGTCAATGTGAATACAACAATACGACAGTAGCTGTTTCTTGGTAAAAACACAAAACAGTTTTTTTTTTATCGCACATTGCGGAGTGCAGGCTGTGCGGGCGCGTGTGCGAACATGCCTCGAAGTGAGTCTGCTGCGTAGGCTAAACTAAAATCCTCTTTTATCTTGTGGGTCACCATATCCCATGTAGCCCGACCGTTACCTCGTGTTTCTCAATACCCGCATTTTCCGGTTTAAGTTTTCAGTCACTGACGTTCGCTTTTGACCTCCTTTGGACAGTTTCTTTCTTTTTCTTTTTTATGTCACTACAAATGAAGTTTGAGCGCTGTTGTCGATAGTTAGGTCAAAGTATCCATCATCATCAGCTAGTTTTAAGACAACTGTATTCCACCAACTTTCCGACGTCGTGTGCGGCGTCCCGAACGAAACAAAGACGCCAAACACGGACAGCCTAACCGGCAGCATATCCGATCTATAAAACAAAAAGACAAGTGAGACATGAGCTCCATCAAACCGAGCGCCGCTCACAAATTCATAGCACTGCAGCGCACGAGGCAGTGCCGTAAATGAAGCGGCGTTTATTTTTTTTATATCCGCGCCTTCCCACCTTGCAGCTCGTAACGGCGTCGTCCAGTTCACGTCCCACGCGGGTGTAGGCACTTAGTCAGCCGTCCACTTCCGTCAGGCCGCGTAAAAGGAGCAACGGGATGAACGATGGCGGGCCCCCTTATCTATAAGCGAGCTGTATTATCGGCCGCTCTCGGTGCTCTGCCCCTTTCGCATAGACGTATACGCAAGGTCGCGGCCTCTGGGCGCCGCCATCTTGCTTCTGGCTTATGTGCAGATCGTCCGATAATCGGGCCTTGCTAAGGCGTGCCCATGGTTGCCAGACCAACGCCCAATCAAAGCGGTTTCTATCCACGGTGGCCAGACTAGCATTCTGAGCATTGCTGCTTTTAAACGTCCGAAGCAGACAAGCATACTTGGCGCGGATTAGGGCAGATTTACTGTCCGTGGTTGGTTTAGTCGGCGGTAGTGAGCGCAAAAAGGCGATGAGCGCGGTGATTGGCGTTGCTTGATTTGCTCTATCGGATAGTATGCGGAGCGCTAGTTCGTCTGCTTATTTTGCAGGGGCTGCGTCGACGTCAGAACAATGTAGAGTTCTGATTGGCTCTGATTGAAGGATAGTGGGTAGACCTCAAGGCAGCCTGCTTTGAGCTTTGCCCACTATCCTTCAATCAGAGCCAATCAGAGCTCGGCGTCGTTCTGACGTCACCGCAACCCCCGTAAAAGAAGCAGACGACTTGCTCTCCCCGCGGTCAGAATGAAATGGAGTATAGCTTTTGAAGCGTGACTAAATGCAGGCATCTATACACGCACACCGTCTTCCCGTTAGGCGGCGAGTGAGAATCAACCCTTCTGGCGCGTCCCCTTATCTTGATGAGGAGTCACCTGTTCGATCTCGGAGGGCCGTGCTGCGAGCGCGGCCAGATTCCGATCACGCGAGCGCGGACGCGGAGGCCACGTCGGGGCGCATCTCGCTTTCCGCACAGGCTGTGCGCGTATGCACGCCGCAGCCCGAGGAGAGAGAGACCGAGCTGTGGCGTTCTTCCTAACGATGAGTGTTTGTGTGTGTGTGTATACACACACTCGAGGCCGGCCAATTATTTTGGTCAGGGGCAGGCCGGCTTGCCGACTTTGGAAGAACGGCGCGGGCCGATCTCGTAAGACAAAGGCGTTCGCCGATGCCCTCGCGAGTACAACGCGAGTTTCCTTCCGCATAGAGTTGAAGAGCGCATTCCGAGCCCCTCATCAATGCCGATGTTGTCAGGTCGACTGGCCGTTTCCACACGACTCGTGATCGTCGAGCGCCTTCTTACCGTCTCTCTGTCGTCGACAGCCTTTGAAGGCCGAGGAAACGAAATACGGAGGACACGAGACGAATCGTGTCGAGTGATGGCGATCTGAAGCCCGATGTGATGCACCACGTATACTGGTGTGGCGCAGTGGTTTGGAACGCACTACCTGCACCGCTAGATTTGTTTTTCTTTTTTACGCTGTATTTGGCGTATCTGTAGAACTGAGAGGGAAGCTCCCCGGCGAACCGAAATTATAGATATATCTTTTTTTTTCTTGCGTTATTAAAAAAATCCGGGCGATCAAACGAATGAACGTGGGTCGTATGTTAAAAGACGAGGATTCCAAACAGACAAATAGCTCAGAATATCGAGGAAACGCCGCTTCACGACCCCTATTCTCTAATGCCCGGTGATGAGTGCACAGCGGACATCGGCGTCCCCCGCGCACACTGGGTGATCCTGGCCAGCCTCTCCTCTTCGTACGTTCAATAATGGGCGGTAATGGGACTGGAGGGGCGCAGCAGCAGCGGCCGACTCCGACCGGGACAGGGATGGGCGGCCGAGAAACCAGTTCCCGCGTCGCGAGATTTCCGACAAACACGCGAGCGCGGCCGAGCGTTGCGTGAGTCTTGTCTTGACACGGGTCCGACGCGCTGCTCCTGCTGCCGGCAGCGCCCCAGTGGACGCCGCTAACTCGCGGCTTCCGGCTTTCGGCGTCGCCGGTGGCATTCTTCGCGCGACCCCACCCTCCCGGCCGTGTGCCCCTCGGTCGGTGCGAACTAGCGAACAAGTCCCAACGAGCCAACGGTAAACTCGCGTCGCCTTTCGGTAAACTGGATTTTGCTCATGGGATGGGAGACGCGACGCGTCGTTCCCACTGAGTTGCGTTTGCGGATGGTTTTTGAACGGATAGTAACTAAAAGAGACGAGATTTCAACGGGAGAGAACGTCACAGCAACGAGCTCCAATTGCAGTGATCTGTGGGTAGACGCGAAGCTAGCTGACTTTAGTTCTACCGACTGCTCCAACGCGTTCGAACGATTAGGAAGAAAAGGGTAGGCAGAAAGGAGGAATATTGGGCGTAGACGCGCAGACAAGTTTTGCGTCTATACCCACTAATCATTCCAACCGGAGTTCGTTTCTCTGCCGCCCCCCGCCCCCCGCGCCCTCAAACCTCCTCTTCTCCACCAGTTTCTATTCCTATACATTAGTCGTGCTCGTGCAGTGTAGGACTGCATACCAGAGGGGTCGCGAACCTTCGTCGAACCTCGAGGATTGGCTGGCTCGGCGATCCTTCGAACCTTCGACACAATTCGATGGAGTACATACAGTACCACGACCGCCAGCCTGGGGTCTTTAGCGCGAATCGCTCACAAGTGATGCACGACCGCACGTCGGTACGAGGCTCAATTACACTGAAACTGGCTCGGGGTGGATTTTATTAATGCAGTTATTAATTACCACTTATTAATGCAGTAAAACCTACTTTGAAAAGCAAAAAAAAAAAAAAAAAATGTGTTTGGGTATTTTTGCACGTTAAGTACCTCGTACATCCGAGCTTTGGTTTCCTTGCGAACGAAACGAGCCGCATCATTTTTCATCTCGGTACAGCTCATCTTTAATGAGATAATCAATTACTCGTTTTTGACGGGGTATTATAGGCGTGGGATTAAGCTCGAGGTAAGAAGTCCTCCCGCCCTTCTAGTACGGTTCTTCGAGTGAAAACGTCAAAATAACCGAGCAATCGCTCTACTTTTCATGAAAGCGAAACTGTTACGTTGAATTGAAGATGACTGAAATTATTTCATACCGACGTAGAATTAATACGCAACACGCTACGATCTCTGTCTCTGCCTCTTTCGCATGTCTGGCTCGAAACGCCCGACGACATTCACCCACAAAACAAGAGGTGTGAAAGTAGAAAACCGCATAGGCTTCTCACGACACTGTGGCAAACAAACTCTGGCGAGCATAAAATAAAACTGGAGAATGCGCTGAACATTTAAGGAATAACTTTCGAAGAAGAAATGCGACAAAAATGTATTTCGTTTGATGCGTCCGTTAAATCTTTCTGAAAAACGTTAAATGCGTAATTAATACACCTCATACATTTTTTCCGAGATATCTTTATCTTGGAATAATTATCGACCCAAACCACCGATCAAGTTTCGGACAAGGTAGATAGTACGGAAGAAACTGCTTACGCAAGGCCTCGTTTAATCCTTCAAATAAAGGCTTACAGGGCAAATCTATAGGATACAAAGGCGGCTTGTGGAGTATAGTTATAATGTGAGGAATACCATTATGTGCGGATTTCTAGAGAAAATGGAGTTACAAACGCATTATACCAACGATACTACCCCCCCCCCCCCCCCCTCCTATCTTCTATCAGAATGAGCTCCTGTAAAGGTAGCTTGGCCCCGGTGCCTCAGTGCACACGGGAATGATACTTTTACAGGGGGTACTAGCCTGGTCGGTACGCAACGGGTCCTGAGGAATAAAAGGTTACGCTTTAAATCGTAATATTTTAACTTAAATGCGTGCTATAAAAGCAACGCTATTACAACACTACTTGGGAATATTGCGAGCCTTCCTTATGATCGGCAGAAATGAAGGAAGTCAAGATTTTGAATATTTTATAACACAAAATAATAATAAAAAAACAAACAAAAAACACTGCCGGCGGCCCGGGCTTAGGAAAAAAAAAAGGCACCCGTTTCTAAAGGTCTAGTTAGTATTATTTAATACTGTATTATAGCATGGTTTAATGCTTCCGGAGAGTGTAACTATTAATGCGGTTGTTTGGCTGAAATCATTTTTACAGCGTTTTGCCGCCTTTAATGGTTGCGAGAGGTCGGGCGCAAGGGGTGACTGCCCCAGAATGTTGGGGATGGCCCCCGCAACCAAAGCCTAAGAAGACTATGGACTAGGCGCCAGAAAGGCAAAGGCAAGAGAAGACACCAGAACGCGCTTGGGGCCTCTTCTCGTCCTCTGGGCGCACTCAGTTCCAGGAGCCGAAGAGATCGCAAGTACCGAATGGGCGCGTGTCCGACACAAAAGGATTCAGGATAGCGTCTCATACCCCTGTGTTACGGGTATGCCAAAGGCCCTCAGAATGAACTCTTTGGAAGAAATGGCGAAGCAGCGCACGCCGATGAGCACGCGCATAACCGAGATCGCGAACCGATTCGCCAATTCTTCAGATGAGTTCGTTTTGAAGGACTTTAACGTGCCCGTGAAAGAGCTATCTGCCAGTCAAAAAGCCTCTTCTAACCAGCGTTGTACAGAACGGCGTTCCAAGAATGGCGTTCCTGGAACGCGTTCTTTTTAGGAAGAACGAGGGAACGCCGCCGCAAGTATAAAATCAATAGCTTTACGAAGAGCAGGATCTCGGTAACTTTTTTCTTACTTATTTTAGGGTTTCTATTGCGGGGTCCTCGTTCGGTAACTGTCGGGTGCAAGGCAGCTGGTGGACATTGATTTCTTTTTTCAGTGCCCGAGACTGCGGCACAAAAAACAAACATTTTAGTCCACTGAAAAAAACGCAAAAAGCGGAACCGCTCAAACTCAGCTATTTTTTTTCTTTTTGCTTCCACGAATTCTTACACAACCATAAAGCTAAGGCCGACTACAGACATGACTGAACTTCCACAAAGAGACCTACAGTTACAACAAAAACAAGTTACCAGACATCGAACGCATCCTTGTAGCTCGAACATTGGTCAAGATACGAAAAAGTTACATTTATGCCCTCTTCCTTTCTCCCCCACCTTCAAAATGAACAACGAATCCGACCTTCACAAAGAAGGACTGGTAGTTTTCAAAACTGACCTTCCAAAATCACTACCCTCTTCGCCAGTTGCTCGTTTTGCGGACAGAAACATCGAGAAGCAACAGTCCTTAAGTTCAAACAAAAACCTTCAATCGAAACGTGGGAGGTTGTTGTAAAACGCTCGTGCAATGTGGGATAACCATTTAATACAGAATAATAAAATTAGCCGCGCTCCTCTTTCCCGGCCCATGGTACATTTGGCTCGTCAGAATCGCCCACCACAAACAAGAATATGGTGAAACGTTCAGATCTCAAAGATTTACACAAATGAAACTTTCCTCCCGGTTGTTTTCTTTTCCTCGTGCCCTTCCATTGCGGCATTAAAATGTGTATGTCGCCATTTGATGGGATATGTGTAAAACAATCTTCGTTTGAACTTAATAAATATGGTGATCACTCTTAAAAAAAGCCCGTGCGTCTACTTTCCCGCACAACACTCGGAGAGCCTATCACCGTAACTTACGAAGGCAGTTCAGCAAATGACGATGCCGAAACATATAACTTTAGACCAAAAAACCCAGTCTCAGATGTGACAAGAAGCAATGCAAGCGTGACGTTTGCCATTGCCTAATGTCACAACTCAGACTGGGTTTTCGAGTCTAAACATTTGTTTCGGCATCGTCATTCACTGAGCTGCCTCCGTGAGTTGCGAAAATTGGCTCTTCGAGTGTTGTGCGGGAAAGTAGAGGCACGGACTTTTTTTTTTTTAGCATGGAAATACAAAAGTAACGTATATGTAACGATACGTTTCATTTTCTAAACTGCAACGAGAACGAGTTCCTTTCTTTCAGACAAAACTTATAACGGGAATTCGGATTCCAAAAGTCAGAAGGAACGAGAAACGAACTTCCGTTCCTTGTTTCGAGGAACGTGTACAACACTGCCTCTAACCCGTTTAGGGACGTCGATATAATAGACGCCGCCGCGCGCATCAAAAGTAAATGCGCTGTGCGTATGCCTAGGCTGCGGGAAGTAAGTCAACCTCGACTGTCGTCTTCTGGTCTCCGTCGTAGACGTGCAATTTAGCTTGTGCTCTACCACCACTAGCCACGTGGTCTCTAACACGCATCACGCAGCAGTTACTAGTGATACATGACCGCGCGCCACAGGCACGATGCTCATCCAGATAGCAGGGGGCTGGGGTGGAGATCCCGCGCATCGCGGTCTTGACAGCGTTAAGCGGAAATAATAGTGGATGTCCGGAGTATCCATGCAAGGGCTCTCGACATCAAGTGGCCAGAAGGAATGTCTCCTAACGGCATCGACAGTCCTCTTCCCTCACGGTGTACGTCGTCGGCGCGTATCTCTTCCGTTCCGGTGGTATCCCGTCCCGCCCAGGCCGGCCATGTGAACGAACTCGATGCCAGTCATCAAGGGCTTCGAGAGCGACACGTCTCGGAGGTCTGGAGGCGCCGCGGCAATGACAGGCCTTCCGGAATAAAGTGGCCCTCTTAGGATGTTCTGCTTTTCCGCGACTGGCCGCGCGTGTGGGGTCATCCACTCGCCCCTGTGTGCACTTTCTTAGTTCGTTGACTCTCGCTCTTCCTTCTCGATATGTATATGTATGGTGGATCGCCCTCTCTTTGCCAGGCAGATTTCGGTTTCTGGGCAGGGTAGGGTAATTCTGACGGATCATCCAGTGATAGGGCAGGCTAATCTCCCTCCTGAAGGCTATATGCGATCGCTTTTGCGACAGGAAGAATTTTGAATCGTTGTGCCTTGGTTAAAAACTATCGGCGAGGAGATCAGACTTTGCACCGAGAAACTGAGGGAGAGGAGGAGACAAGAAGGGACGTCCAAACGCCGAGTTCTGCATGGTTCGAATGATTAGTGGGTAAACCAAAGGCTAGCTGCCTTTGTCTCCACTGCACCCGTCGAACGCGTTAGAACGGGGAACGATTGTATCATCGCCGCAAGAGTCAAATCAGTGCCTCCTGGTGTCGAGGGCCAAGGCCTCTGAACTGGACTCTTCACGTCCTCGATCGAGCGCGGGGCGTAGATCTATTGAGCACGAGAGCTGCGTCAGCAACTCGCGTCTAATCAGGCCGTGACTGGTTGAACACGAGCACCAGCCGAAAGCTGACGAAGCATTCGACTACGTCAGCTGAGCGCTGCGTCAAAAATACAAACGCATAATTCATATTGTTGTTGTCCCCAGGTGTATATAGTTATCAAGTATATACACATAAGGGCGCGATGGTTGGATATTTACTTCAGTGGCTGGATATATAGAGTGAAGATATATAAAGAGAATAGTCGCTCTTATTTTAATGGATTGGTGTGATTTTTTTAACACCATAATGGGGAGGGTACCGCGGTGCCGGGAGGAAGCGATTAACAAGAAAAACGACGGCACCTTTTTTAGATTCTATCTATAGCATAGAATGTTAACCGCCAGTTTCTATTGAAGTTTTATTCAACATTTTTTTTTTATTTCGCGTAAGCTTAAAACAGGGATTTTGCAAGGCTTAAAGAAACGCATTTGACTTCGTAAAACCTGCTGAAAGTTAAATAAAGCTTTAAGAAAGAATGCGGCAACAGGGAAAGATTTGTTTTTGCGTGAAAACGTTAAGGAAAACCCAAAGTTTAAATTTAAAATAAGAGGAGGCTAGCTGAATGATAAACCTGACGTAGCCACCTAATATAATATTTTTATGATACAACGAAACGACTGAACTGCAATGTACAATTTTTTTAAAGCTGCATGCTAATATATATATATATATATATATATATATGCGGTCACCACTTGGTGAAAGTTCCTATTCGAGGTTTGAAGCCTCTTCTGTCGTAATGAACAGCCGGAATCCCTGTTTCCTAGAAGGGTACTTTCTCTCATTTAACGCCAACAGGGTTTACGTATCAAAGCAAAACTGGTAAAGGAATGGATTGATGCGCCCTTCAAACGGCATCGTAACTCATTCATCGGGACGCAACCAGTCACGATTGCGAGGTCAAACACCTCCGACCTTGCGCCTCGGCCTGCAACACATCTGCACCGACACCTGCGTGCGATAACTTGTTTCTTTTCGCGCTCTATTATACAGACCAAGAGTTCGGACGGTCTCCGGCAACTGGCCGCTCCGAACGAATGTGCCAATTTAACCGTGTTCTCAAACCTATTAGCCGTTTACCTTTTACACGTTACTGCATGGTGCGACCCGTTTGATCGATCCCGGAGCATTCAACGCGTCTTGGCAACGCGTCGTTAAATGTGATCGAGTGGGCGATCGGGGTTTAGGCGAAGAAATCGCTACTAGTAATGGCGACGATAATAATAACGGGGTTGGCTGGACGTGCCGACGGCGGATACTCATTACGCAATTGTTGGGGCATTTGCAGGATTTAGCTCGGCTCACCCGCCCCCATCGGTGTTTTTGTATGCGCCGTGCACCGGAATCTCCATTGGAATGAATCTAACGATCGGTTTCCGTCTGGTAAGAAGGGAAGAAAATGCCCTCTCTCCCTCTCAGCCCGGAGCGTCGTCTGCCCGTCTGCTCGGTAAACCGGGCACTGCCAAACATCCGGCTGGCTCGCGAAGTCGGTTTAAAATCGCATCATTTGAGACATTTTAAGCGCAAATGCGCCGATTCAGATGCGCAAGTTATCGTACAATATAGCTCTCGTTTAGACAAGTGCAGGCCTGACTTACTTCTGTCCGTGCACTTGAGATCCCTGGCCAGTTCGTCGGATCCCTGGAAGCACTGGGGAACGCCATCGCAGAGCTGCGATAGCTCGAACAGTTGCAGCACCTCCGTGGATTCGTTCACTTGGCAGCCGAAGAAGCCGTCCTCGAGATTTAAGACGAAGATCTCCTTCTGTAGGTACGGGCTCGGGTACTTGGGCCGGTATTGGGCGCTCACCTGCGAGCACAGAAGAAGGAAGGGAAACTTAGAACAGCGGGCGGAAGAGGAGCCGTTTCAGCCATCCTCCCCATTGAAAAACAAACGAACAAATTATATGAGACGTAGGAATCATACTCCCAAATACCGTATAACGTATCATACGCATTTTTCTCGATGAAGAATACGCGGATCAATTTGATGTTTGCCCATGGTTGTCTACCATAATTTTCCGGTCAGATGCCGGATAAATGGCATTGATTTCGACCATTTTTTCTTCGATAATATTTGGTCAAAAAGCGATCTTTCAATTAAGTAAAAAACATGGTGCGCAGCATCCTACGATGTTTTATGTGTGAATATGTGTATAGTGAATACGACATGGGAGGTTGTTTCCAGGCACTTCAAATTGTGCAGTCAGTTGATAAACAACTTACCTTTTTATTATTGTTCGGATGGGTCTTCCATATATGGTATATGAAATACGGGCCATATGGGTGCGTGCGTTTTTTTTTTCCTGTAGGTCTTCTATCAAAATTGCATTAGCATATATTAAATACGCTAATGCAGCTTGACTACATAATACATATTTAGTCCAGTGTATGTTCCAGCCACACAAAGGGTATAGATTTTCTTGTCACTGCCATTTTTATGCTTGACGTGAGCGTGTAGGAATGTTTGGGTCAGGGACCCCAGACGGACTGGAAAAAAACCGGCGACCGATGATGGCCGAGACGAGCAAGCGAGCCAAGACAGATCCGCAGCGACTGTATTACAATATATATATAGATACACGAATGTCGCGGCCGGACACGTCGCGTGTGCGGGGTCAGAGAGGAACGCCCGTAATGATAACGTCGAACGGTTCCTCATACCTAGGCCTCCTGTGAAAGGCCTGTAATCTTCGTGCACGGCTTTTCCCCTGCACTAAAGTTTCCGCCACTTGTGGCTCAATCGAGCCCGGAATATTTGCATGTAGCTAATACACGAAACCTATAATGTAAACACGCGCGGTAGTCTTACGAACATGCTATGTAGTCGCCGTGAGCCTAAAGGGCGTGCATGGCTTATTACGTTCACGCGTCTTGCTTCGTGATTGGTCCGTTGGCGTTCTTATCGGCCAATGTCGCAATCTGATTGGTTGCGGGGCGATATAATGAGATGCTTGAGATTCGCCATACCCTGCGTTTCTGAAGCAGTCGGTGGCCATAGCTTCTGCGGAAGAAGAAAGTGTGGCATAGGCACCCCGGGGGTCCGCATGGGCAGTTTAATGACACCGCCCTGATCCCTTGGTGGGCGTTAAGTCGATATATCGCTGCGTAACTTGAGGAATTCGTAAAGCTGCATATCAAGTTTGTGAAGTCAATTCGAGTTAAGACGCCGAAACAACGCCAATGACAAAACAGACCACGTGTACGCTTTTATGAAACGCAGATGAAGTATAGAAAGCTTCGACATGATCTTCCGCGCTCGTGTCAGTGGACTCCGCAAGGTTTCCGCAGCATAAAATCAATCATTATTGGCAAAAAAAAAAAAAAAAAGAAAGGACCCGATAAGCTCAAATGACCTTATGACGGCATAATGAAAAGAAAAGAAAAGGCGACCTTGCCAAAGGCGAAACCCCGACATGCAGGACCGTATCTGGCGTCAGCAAGAAGAAAACAGATGTCGGGAGCCTATAAACGTGTTCAATGGCTCCCCACGACTCCTCGCATAACCCCGCGTAATCTGCAGAGCGGCACCATTCATCAAAGCTCAAGACAGCGGCCCAGGAACCAGAGCGGGCGCCGTCGCCCCCTTGCTCGGCGCGGGCCACGTCCCCGTCGAGACGCGACGCTCAAGTGGAGAACACGTTACAACCATGCCTCAATTTGCGTCCGATCAAAGCATCGCAGAGCGCCTGCGCGGCGTACGCCATATTAATGACACAGATCCTGGCAGGTCATCGCTATCAGAGCGGGTCGGCTCATGTGTCCGATGGACTCCGCGTGTGGCATCATCCCGGGAGGCATCCGTTCCAGAAGAGGACGTGGCCTGCCACGACCAGGCGACGTCTTCTGTCTTTCGCCGGCAGGAGACGGCGGCGCCATGGCTTCTGGGGCTTGCAGAGGATTTGCTTGGATTTGCGTCGCGGGGTGAAGCGAAACAGAATTAATAAGAGGTCCCGACCAGGTCGGCTCCTCTGCGCACCCGTGCGTGCAGATTTATTTATACGCGCCGGAATTCGCCCGGCCCTCGTCAATAGAGGAAGCCGGGATTTGCGAACCTGTTCGCCATGCGGATGCTCTGCTCGGGGACAGCTGGCGCCGAGACACAGCCTCCGCTCGCAATGTTGCTGCTGCGCCAGCCGCCTTCTTTTCAGGTTTCGAAGGGGGCACTCAACTACGAGCCGATAGACACTTTGCTCTTTTACGTGAATAGTGTTCAGTGGAACTGGTACGTACGTCAAGAAGGATGACCTCGCTGCTGCCACGATGCGTGGAATGGCATGATGCTAGATGAGTGTTTAGCGAGTGAACTCGTGCAGACACCTCGAGTCGTTCGATATATCGTTTGTCGAACTATAGATCGAGAACGTGGGGGTGGCAAGGAAGGAACAAGACCTTGATCGAGAGATGTCACTTGGTGAAAAAGTATATACCCAACGAAATGATCAAATTGTGTTGTCTTGGCTGGCCATGCATGCAGCGATACGAAAACTTGAGCCTCCTATTGGTTGCCTTGTTTCGGTCAAATCTGTGGTTTTTGCAGGAGTGTCTATACTTCGCTTCACATGAGTGAGGGTGAAGCCACCACTACGAGCCAATGAGACCAATCGATTTGTGCCAAAAGTGCGACGTCACGGCATTCGTCGTTCTTTTGTGCGTGTACCATCATCGGCAAACCAATCAGGTGGAGCCAATCCGCAATGATCGTGCACTTTTATGGTGAGTTTTCTCGTTTGTATGTCTTCTATAGTCGCGAAACGCTAACGCAGGGCGTGCTCCCTGCTCCGTGATCCCTTTTTGACCGCGCCCCGACCACTGGTGAAGACAAAGTATAGCATGGCTACTGACGTATTCAGTGATTTCCCTACACACCCCCCTTCGTTTTTTTTTTTCTGAAGGCACCCCCTTAATTTGTTACGACTCCCCTATTCTCAATGCCCCCCCCTAAACCCCCCCTCCCCACCCAAAAAATTTAGACCCCCCCTCCTCCCCCCCCCCCCCCCCCCAATTTTAATTTTCGGCGGAAACCCCTGGACGTATACTCATTGCGCAGTTCAACGCTCGACTTCGAAATAATCAGAATTAGTTTCAACTTCCATAAAACGAAAAATGTTCTGCGTGCATGCCCTCAGAAACACTTTCTTTTTCAATTATGAGTTTAGAGATTTGCTGGTATATCATATAATCAACATCGCGCGCACGTTATCGAACGCCTTGTAAAGGAGCCCACGCACTGCAAAATTCTGCTGCTCCTTTTTTTTCAAACCCCGAGTTCGCAAACACAGGTGGTTGATTCGATAGGACTAATTGACTCAATGCTGCACGTATGAGAAACGAGCTGCGAATAGCATTGTTATTTTCTTTATCTTCGCTTTGAGGCAGTTTAGAAGCAAGACGAAAGAGTTAGTGAAATAGTGTATGCGCACGGCACTCTTCCTTTCACTTCGATGTCTTCGGTCGATCAGTTTGCGGCGGCGGCGGCCTCCTAGAAGCAAGACCCCTGATCTTCGACCGCCCCCCTTCCCTAGACAGAGTCACAGGGCGCAGTTCGACTCTTCGCAATCGCTCTTTCTTGTTTATGTGTGCGCAGACGCGGCCGGTGGCCAACTGGGATCGGGCAGGGATCTTGTAGTGGGTCGTTTATAGAGTCGCTATCGAGCACGCCAAGCACCGTGCACGCACTGTCGAGAATTCCGATCTCTTATTTACGACGACGACGCTGCGGAGTATATACCCCTTTCGGTGCCGCAATTTCTGTAACCGAAGAGGTTCTTTAAAGCTTCGGCGAAGCCTCATCTTCGGCAACTGGAGGACTTTGCCCTCTAGGGTCAATCTTTAGGCTTCCCTGGTTGGCGGAACATTATCATGCACGCGGGAGAGTCGCGCGGCGTCCAGTTCCTCTGTCTCGACGAACACAGACTGAGAGCTGGTCGTGCCGTTCATTCCACTGACATGCGGCATTCGTATGTGTGTACACATTGCATTGCCAAACGACCGATCTCACAGCCAATTTCCTTACGCCACCGCTGCCGCCATGCAACGTGGAAACTGTAATCTTTCTTCACGAGCGATATCCCCGCTGAGGGTTTGCGCGAGCAGAGCACGAAGTGGCACGAGCTGTCTCGTGAACTGGCGCTGCTTCCTAAGAAGTATACTTATGACGGCGATTTGCATGCGTGGAACGCTGATTGAGCCATACAACTTGGTTTGTTTCTTCAATAAAATCAGTTGTAAGTGGTGCCCGTCCTTGTGGTATACGTGTTTATTGTTTCGTTCATATTTCGGTTCGCGCTTTTAACCTTTTAAACGCTTAGTGAGATCGGACTATTGTGGTACATATAACTTGATATGCCATCAGCCCGCGCGCGGAACTAGGAGTACCCAAAGAGCATTCAGAGCCAATCATTCCTATCTACAGAAGGAGCTCGGCAAAATGACAAAGCATAAAAAATGTTTTTGTTTATAGACAAACTCATGTTTACAAACAAACCGGAGCGCTCCTAGTGGACGCCACCGGCGCTGCGCATGCGCGATGGAGTGGGCAAGCAGCTCGCCGTCGCCCATAAACAAACCATTGAAATGCGATGTTGTCGGCGTAGGTATGAGTCCCCGTGCTCTTTTCCGAGTTGGAATTGTTGATTCTACGTCTTCCTGGCAGTGTCTGACTAGTTGAGCGGCCTCAGCGAAATTGCCGAGGCTCATTACGCCGCAAAACTTCGCGTGATTAATCTGACATGTGAAAGCTAAAGCCTGATTCGCATGATAAGATTCCGCTCCCAATTTTCAGTCACTACGTCGCTCGGGCTGCAAAAGCGTGAACCGTAACTGAGATGGTCGACGTCGATACTGAAAATCGCAAGCAGAATCGGGCCAAGTGAATCGGGCATTACAAGTCGGTGATGTATATCCACTGGTAACAATTAATGATCACCATCTCATTGTATCTACTGTTTACACGGAGCCTGCTTACCACAACCAACCTTCAAACTTAAAAGTCTTTTGAGGCCTGCCCTTACTTCTTATCGCAATTACCGGGCCAACGTTTAGTCTACGGGCCGGTGTCGTCTGAAAAGAGCACACGACACGCAGAAACGTCTGAAAGAGTAGACGGCAGTTCTAAAGATCAGGTGGCCGTTTGAACTTGAAGACGCACTGAATGTGGTCCGCAGGTGGTCCGTACAACTTGACGATTTTCCCGCGTTCATGTTGGAACAAAACAAATAAACCTGATGACCACAAGTATCCGTGAATTCAACCCAAAGTGCTTCCCGCAGAAGTAATCGTGGTCCAACGGCGTCCGGTTTTCCCTTTTCACGGCTCATATCCACGCTCTCGGACGAACCGAGCACATGAAAACTGACCTTCAAACCTTTCTCGACTCTTTTGGTAAAGCCCCCGTCATAACGCTTTGACAAAAACGCAATTTTTTTGCCTGTTTT